TCATATCATGTGTAGGCAACTTTGCGGAAGTGTATTTTGGCTTCGTGCCGGCACATGAGTACCGGTGGCTCATGGGAAATAGGATCTCCGAAATTTTTAATGATGACGTTACTGTCTATGTCGTCTAACTGCCGATGACGCACCCTCGTCCTTGTAGTGGATATATTTTATAATGTAGAGCCGTTTCTAGGCAACGATCGCAAACAAACAAATTCCCGCGTCCAACAGTAGAGGTTCTGCTGGAAACGGGGTTTCCTACGGTGGTCCGTGCCGAGGGGTTACAAGGATCTATGGTGGTGGTGGTTGTTTCTCTTCTAAATGAATTGTAGCCATGTTTATATCTATCCCGTGACTGTAAAAATAACTCAAACCTATTCATTTCGTAACAATATGCATATTATTTTTTTCTGATTAGTACTATCTTGTGTAGAACAGTTCATGTAATATTTCATATCCTGAATTTGCATGGCCAGTAACATATTTTTCAGTGTTTTAGTAGAAATGATAATCAACCTTTGTTAATTTTTTGTACTTTTATGTTTTTTTACTCTTAAATGGGTTGGAAGATATTCCGACACTGTCCACGTTTTTCTCCCCCCCCCCTCTTCTCTCTCTGCCACTGAAATATGGTTCACGTCCCATTACATTTGCTGCGTTCTGCTTTTTAATCCTGGGGGTCGTTTTCCTCCTTGCCACCGTCACTCTGCGTGCCTAAGGAAATGTCTAGAGACAAACACAGCTAGCTGCTGCAGAAGAGCCAACATCATTTTTCTTTGGATTTAAGGTATAAAGAAGAGAGTGGGTTGCAGACGAAAGTAACCTTCCCCCTTCCCTGTCTTGTCTCTCCATAATACTAAACTAAAACTACAAGAATTTTCTTTTAACCTCTTTGCATACCGTCTTGCACAGAAGAGCGGGGAATCACCTTTATCTTTCACATTCCTCTTCTTAACATTTATTCTATGTGATTGCAAAGAGTATAGAATATTAGTACAAAAACTGAGTAAGAGACGGAAGCTGTAGTCATTTATTCCCCAAGGATTTCTTTCCTTTAAAATTTTTACCTACTGGAGTCTAAAATTGTTGCTCGTTGTCCCTTATATTCTCTCAGCGAGCATCCATTTTCGTTCTGCAGTTCTCTGAGAAAAAATTACTTCCATATTAATTTTAATCTGAGACTTTCATGAAAGTTATTTTTTAAATATATGCTATGCTACTTTGAGTTTTACACTATTGCAGGTTCATTATTTAAGTGTGCCTTAAAATCTGATCAGTGGTTTAATTAATCGTTTGAAATATTTTAACCTGACACTTATTAATACTCGTATGTAGGATTGCACCTAAATTATTTCTTATAATAAGCTACATGCTTATACACAGTCAATTGGATCTTCATATTACCCTTCAGATTAATGAGACTCTACTAGTTTAATTAACACGACGATGTCTATATTGTTATCTGACAAAACGATGCTTTAATAAACAAGTTAGCTCAGTGGTTCAGGCTGAGAATTATATTTGAGTTAACTTATCTTATAGAAGTTTCCCAGGCCATGCCATAGCTCACACGGTTAGACGCCGGCTTCCCATCGCGGGGTTCGGATTCGAGCCCAGGTCAGGTCATGTGGGTTTTATGGTGTACAAAGTGGCATTAGGGCAGGTTTCCTCCTAGTAATGCGATTTCTCCTGCCAATTCTCATTCCCCAGACTGCTCCACACTCTTCATCATTTATCATCCGGGGCTGGTACAATAGGCCAGTTAGTGGCCGACGTACCAAGTGGACTCAGTCTCACCCCACCCCAAGAAAACCGCATCTCCTACAAAGAGTGTAACAACCGAAGGATTGTACGGACTGCAAGAAGACAGTGTCTAGTTGTACAGCTGGAACTACTGTATCCGAGAGAAATCTCAGCTTCCTTTTTAAATGTCTCACAGTCCTCCAACACAATACACAGCCGGTCATTGTGTACAAGATTTATGGTAGAAATATCTACCCAGGGCCACTGTTCTGTCATTAATTCTACCAAAATGTCCTCTATTCATTCAATTGTCGTTTTCATCCAGTCGCTGCCTCTAACACACCGGAGAGCATCGCAGATGCACACTTCAGTCTTCCTCTTCCACCGCTCAGTAAGCTTTCCCTCGACCAGGACAACGTACTGGTGACACTGAACGTGCGTTTGAGAGGTATCCAGTTTAGATATTGGCAGCACAACCGACTGCTCTGATAAAGCCTTTTCTCTCGTGGTTTACTTAATTTCTCGATGAAATTTGCCCGGATGCTGCAATAAAATCGGTCGCTGTCATTTCATTCCAAATCATAACTTACTTATCATACTTCAGTCTCTCTCATAGTTTACCTAAGCAACTGAAACAGTTGGGGCACCCGATAGCCTACGTGGTTGAGTCACTATGCTACAATTGAGCTAATTCTTCCAGCCGCACTATGGCCCTGGGCTCGACTCAGCCTCTAACAGAAATGAGTACCAGGAATCTTCCTGGGTTGTAAAGAGCGGCCGGCGCGTAAGGCTGACAACCTTACCGACATCTGTTAGACAGTTTTCTAGGGAAAATGTTGGAGCCTCGACGTCTTACAACCGCATGGGCCTTCACGTCCTGTTATAGGGATAAATTTACTGAAATATTTATTGAAAGCGAAGAACCGACGGAAGTCCGAATATTGGAAAGTTAATCGCACATATGAAACGTATTGTACAAACGTATAGCGGCTGGATAGGAGTACATTCTGATGCAAAATGTAATAGCATCGTGTACTACAGAAACATTACTCGTATTTCTGTATCTCTGCGTGTGCTATTGTTTCCCTTTTGGTTCGACAGTGCAGTGCGTTGATTATTCAGTATCAGCTGTGATAACGAGAGAGAACTTGATGGAAGCAAGGTGAATGACAAGTAATTCAGAGAGAAACTGCTGACAAACTATGCCACACCAGATATCCACACTTGTCTCTCTCTGAAAGTATAAACGCTAGCAAAACGCTTGACCTAAGGTAACTAACAAGAGGGCTGGCGTGGCGTTAACCCTGTAGACCCGTAATCAGAAAGGATGAAGAGAGTTGCATAATGAGGAGCTTCGTATGTAGGATTTAAGGTTGTTACAGCTGTAATTATGAAGACTTCTGTCTCCTGGGATATAATGTAGTGTAGTCCGTTAAAAGTCAGCCATGCTCTGCTTGCTGTCTGCTCCACGCTGGTTTCTTGTTTTGCTTATCTTCAACCTTGAAGAAGGAGGCGACATTTTCCTCCACCGAAAACTCTTCAGAAATTTCGTAGTTATGCTTTTCATCTGAAATGGTTAGGATTAGTAAATATGGTAGAATGATTTGGGGGTGTAGGAAAATTAACACGAGAGAAGGAAAGAAAGAATACGTACCAATTTCGGTTCGAAAGTTTTAGTATAATAATAGGCCTATTAAAATATTTCTTATGCGGAGAATATGTGTGTGAAGGTCCTTATTAAGGATAGGATTCTGTGGTATTCTTCTTTGGATATGTTCATGAATTATTCGGATTCAGTAAAAAGTGAATTTTTCGATCAGGAAAGTCACTATGAAGTTTTCAAGAAAATATATAAAATATATTTAGATCCCTGATAATAAGGGAGGAACATAGACTGAGGGTGTTTGAGAACAGGGTGCTGAGGAGAATATTTGGACCGAAGAGGGATGAAGTGACAGGAGTTTGGAGGAAAATCCGTAATNGTGGATTGATCTCGCTCAGGATGTGGACCAGTGGAGGGCTCTTGTGAACACGGTAATGAACCTTCAGGTTCCATAAAATGCTAGGAAATTCTTGAGTAGCTGCAGATTTGGCTTCTTCTCGAGAAGGGCTCAGCGCCATAAGTAAGTAATAAGTTGATATATTGGGTTTTTGGACTTTATCCATCGTCCTGGTTTTTAAGATAACTAATAAAAACACGACGTTTCGGAAACTGGATCTGTTTCCGTCCTCAGGTGAAGGAAAACACCTATTCTGTTGGGTCCGTTAGAAAGAGCTAGCCTCGATCATTGGACCAAAAACCAGTACGATGGATAAAGTCCGAAAACCCAATATATCAGTGTGTTATACACCATCGTCAGAATCCCATAGTAACTATAAGTAATAAGTTGTTATTAAATAATGATAATTGTTAAACATCCATCTCGGCCACCCAAATCTACGAGTACATGCGTGCAACATTTTAGTGTAATTTTCTTCACGGTTTGCTATAAAATTTGGGGGAGCAAAATTCAAATGTGTGTACGTCTGTCATATGTGAACCTTACAGCTGCGCTGATGGAGTGTGACTGGAAAACTTGGATACCCCCTCCATTCAAGAAACATAAATGTTAAAAACGTTTTGTCGTTCGAACGATTTTATCATTTTACCTGTAGTTTCCTTCAAGCCTATACAGCACTGGCAAAGAATGTTTTTCAGTTACAGTTGATTGAAATTTCACGTACGTTGCATTTCTCTCTAATGATTTATATGTACTAATGACTGTTATAACATGAATAATGTTGCAGTGTTGGTTTATAAATTAATTAAAATTTAGATGTAACCTGTCATGTAACATAAAAAAGAACGACAGTACCTTTGTTGAAGTTTAAAAATCTAACAACGATCCATACTGATTTCATATTCGGTGATGATTCCAAATCTGGCCGGAACACCCGATATTCTGACGTTCTTCTTGGTTTTCCTGAGTCCCTTCAGGAAAATTCTGGAATAATACCTCGATCAGATTACAACTGCTTCCTTTCAAATCCTCTCCAATTTATTTAACACCTTACCTTAGAACGCTATACAGTGCAGCTGTTGACAGCACCGTACAGCTATGTAATATTTTTCCCTTGCGTTCATACGCAGTTGCTCTGGCGAAGCAGTGGGAGATACTGAGAACCGGCGCTTTTGTCTTTCAATTGTTCGTGATGAGTGCAACATGGGAAGTGCCTCTTGGTCATGACTGCATACTGAGCGGTCTGTCGTTTTGTTGCAGGTCGACCCCTGCCCACAGTCCGGTGGTGGCGTGATGCCGTGCTAGTGGACAGCACGGACGAAGAGTATGCTCACCCTGGTAAAGTGAAGCATAATCAATTGATCGTGCCCGAGCTGAAGAGAAACGACCTGCACGCCGTTTACACCTGTGAGGCGTCCAACAACAACATCAGCCAGCCAGTACGTGCTTCAGTCAGCATAGAGATGCATTGTGAGTGCTGCATATAAACTGCATGCTACACTATTTTCCTTTAGACTTCGCTTAAGCCAGTGGTGTCAACTGTGATCCCAATATGACCAACCTCGCAACGAAGAATTTGGAGTATCTTGTCTCGAAATGTCAGTGGTAGATGCGCAGTATTGCTCATGATGTTCGTGAACGCTTTTCGAAAAGAATGCGTCAGTTAACAGTCTCAATTCTGAAATTAATCCAAATATTATTTAAAAATTAGTGCACATATTAGTATTAGTATTAGTATTCGAAATATTCGAAATCACACTTCATTTAAAAAAAATTATATTAATAATTAGTAATACAGGGTGTTCTACTCCTGAAATAATATTCCAAGAAAATTATTTTTTCTATAATTTCTGTCTGAAAAATGTGCTGCGGCCTATACACGCACGCGGCCTATACATGCGTAAATACGGTATGTAACAAATCCTTGCCTCAATGTACAAGTAGGCCTAACACTTACAGATTCTTCAAGCTCTATCAAGCCAGCGACCCATATCTTTAACAGTTCCAGAACAATACAAATATATATTTTTACTATTATTATTATTATGGCTCTACAGCCCTTTGTTGGTGTTTGGCCTCTTTTTCCGGTTTCTTGATCCTATATACAGTCAGTAGGACTCCTTGGACGTGGGGGATCAGCCCGTCTCAAGGCCTCTACCTACACAGAGAACAAAACAAACATAGAATTAACGCACACAATACAGACATCCATGCCTTGAGTGGTATTCGAACCCACGAACCCAGTGTTTGAGCGAGCGAAGACGGTTCATGCTTTAGACCGCGTGGCCGCTGTGATCGGCGAAAAAGATATTGTAAAGGGGAAAGTTAATAGCATTGGACTTTATATTCTGTGAGTTTCCTGAATAATTTTGTGGTACATTTGTAAGAAGCACCCGGTTTGCAGAGCGGTTAATCAGCCACCTCACAATTAGGAATTAGGGCTACCCGACCATAACTCCGAGCGTTAACCAATTATTGTAACACGGGCAGGGGGATTCTCATGTTTTCTGCAATCCCTTCACGCTAATGCTGTACTATTCCCTTACAATACGAATCATTCTATTAATGTGTGTTTCCCTTTTAAATTAAATGCTGAACAGCTGAAAGCGGTGTGTGGATTGTGCACCCCTGTGGAATACCGATGCTTCAATTCAAATCGGTACACACCGTCCCACTGTTCGCTACTGAAATCTTCTTTCACCCGTCACTGTGTCTGAGGCAGCGGGAAAGATAAATACAGCGGTTAGGAGGTTAATATCGATTTATAACCAAATTGCTTGTTCCTTCTTCCCCCTTTAGTACAAGAGGATAGAAAAAGAAGTTTTCCATATGTTTTATTTCAGAATACGTTCGCATACAGCAGAGTAACAAATCTGTAACTATTTAAAAGGTAGAGTTGTCCCTGTGTTTTACTAATAAAGCAATACGCAATGAAGACGTATGGGGGAGTGGATGTATAGATCCACATTTTCTTGACCTCGACACTAGCTGGAGGTGAATGGTCATCTTCACGCCCCTCCTGCTTTACTCCCGGGGAAAGAGCCCCCGGAACCCATTGGATAGGAGGTTGGGTGAACCTGAGAGACAGTCTGGACAACTTAGAGAAGTGAAAATTTTTGCCCCCACCAGGACTCGAACTCCGACCTCTCAGTCGTCAAGCCCGTAGCTAGTCGCTATACAGACTACGCTATCCCAGCTCTCTGTAACTATTTAAGCACCCATAATTAAAAGAAATATTGTACTAATTTAACATATATGTGATTTAATTTTGTTATATTCTACCTATGATAGCCTGCTCTTAGTAGTACGGTTTGTATATATCTAAGTTGGTTACTTTAACGATGCTTAACACTGAACAACCTCGAGACGCTTTGCTGATCTACAAACCGTCTCTTCAATTACCCAAGAGTGAGCCACAGAAATTTGTACACATAATCTTACGGACATTTGTATGCATATATATCGAATCATGAAGTTGGATCATATGAAACTTGTTAAACGTGATTTTTATTTGTACTTGAAGCACGTATGAAGTAATCTGATGTTATTCTGTATGATCGTGGAACTTTTGTCTCTTACTTCCATAGAATAACACGGTGTTTCAAAGTATAATTCAAAGAAAATAAAATATTTAAACTGAAAAGAATGAACTTCATATAAAGAACGCGTAACAGATCGTTGAAATGTGGTGCGCCTTACAAAAGGTACGTTAGAGAATGTTGCTGGGTAGAATTCACCTGTTCTGCACGTGCTGTGGGTCAAGTAGAGGCCTTGCAGACGGGGTCGAATACTATATAGCGACTGCGTCGTTACTGACCTGAGTAGCAGCTGCTGAAACCCAATATCACCATCATTATCCTGTTCACTATGACCTACAGTTCCGGGGTTCGAGAACCTACTTGCATATTAAAACAAGAGAAGAATTTTCTGTGCTGTAGAAGCGTAATTTATGCTACACTATAATACACCATAGAGCTATTCATAGATGTGCTTCGAGTGGTTTATAGCAGGTCTCCAGTTTGACTTGTAAAGATCGAAAATATTTCATACTGCATAATTATTTGGAATATATAATTTGTAAAAAAAAAAAAAAAAAACACGCGACCAATAAAACTNGTCGCAATATTGAGTAATGATTTTTTTCTTAAACGAAAGGGACACGCGGTAGCATAGTTGGTTGAGACACTATATTACAAGCCGTAAGGCTCCGGGTTCGAGTCCCGATGAGGTGGATTTTTCTTTCAATTGACCTAATTCTTCCAGCCGCACTGTAGCCATGTGGTCGAATCAGTCTGTAACAGAGATGAGTAACAAGAATCTTCCTGGGGTAAAGGACAGCGAGCGCGCAAAGCTGATAACCTCACCGCCGGTCTAGAAAATGTGGGAGCCTCGACGTCTCACAACCCTGTAGGCCTCCACTGCCTGTTAGAGGGATAGCTTCACCTTTCTTTTTATTAAAACCATTATCACAATTTATCCAATTGCAACAAATGTACTTTGCCTCTGAACAGGTTTCGTAGAAAAGAACATTTATCGTGTATTGTTAACCTTAGGTCCATTCATAAGGCTGTGGAACCACCATCTCTGAGTTAGAACATGTAAAGAAAATGTCACGCCGGTTACGGTAGCCGAGCGGTCTAAGGCATGTACTGTCTTCGCTCGCTTGGGAACCGGGATTGTGGGTTCGAATCCTACTCAGAGCATGGGCGTTTAGTTTGTGTGTGTGCGTTTTTCTCCGTTTGTGTACAGGTAGAGGCCTTGCGACGAGCTGATCACTCGCCCAAGGAGTCGTACCGAATGTGTAAGATCTAGAAAAACCGAACTGAACGGAGAAGTTCATGGAGGTAGGCCTAGGCCCACTGGGACTGTAGTGCCAAGAAAAAAAAGAAGTGTCATAGTAGTTCTAATGGGGCCGATTCACCTGACGAAGTTTTCTACAGACATGCTACTTATAAAAGGGACTTATGACTGTATTTGAGTGTCTATTAACAGAGATTTCTTTCTTGTTCCTACAAATTAATTGTATTGTTGTTACTTGTCTCCTAACCGTGCAGCATCACGTGTTAATACCATCTAGCGTGTGACGAGGTTCGTTATGTTGTCTGTCAGAAGTGGGACAGACAGATACATCAAGAACGGGTTATGACTCGTTCGAAAGTACCACCCAGTGTTTGTGGAGAGTTGGGGACAATCACGATCAACACTGTTCTCTCGCCTGGATGCGAACCCTATTTCTCCCTAATGCGTGTCTTGCTCGAATAGCGTATGTATGAAGTTTGGGGGAATTATGACTGTTGGGAGACTGGGACTATGACCTATTTAAGGACTCGTCTTTAATAGCCAGTAGTCAACAAGTACCCTGGTCTGAGATTAGAACTGTGGTTCTCCCTCATACACATACGTGTCGTCACTCATGTTGTGGAGGTCCGATGTTTGGATTTTATTTCAGAGATTATCCTGACAGAAGCTTTCTGTAGTTTTCTTCAGTCTCTTCAAGTAGATACTGGAATAGTACATCAGAAAGGACAAGACGGTTTCCGACCGGCTCTGTGGTCTAGTGGTCAGAGTTCCTGGCTACAGATCCAGAGGTCTCGGGTTCTATTCCCGGCGCTACCAGATTTCTGAGAAGTAGTGGGTCTGGAACGGGGTCCACTCGGCCTCTTGAGGATAATTCAGGAGCTATTTTAAGGAAATGACGGCTCCGGTCTAGAAAACCAAAATTAACGGCCGCGGGGATTCGTTGCGCTGACCACGCGACACCCTCAATCCGCTAAATTGGCACTAACTTCGCCGAAAAGCGCCGGTCGCTCGGTCGGTATTGTTCGCTTGTGGACTAAAGGTCAGGGAGTTTGTTTTTTGTTTTTTGTTTCATTCACTATATTTTTTTTCATTCAACGCTGTACAAGCTGTAAAGTTGTCGACTAAATCTTAATGAGCTGAGATACCAAAAATGAACAAGTCATTACCTTACTGATCATCATTGCGTTAGGACTCCTTATTCTGCTTACAGAAATTATGAATATATTTTTTTTTTGTAAAATGTGGTTTTATAATTTCTTTCTTTCCTAGGTTCTTGTTTGCAATATCCAGTTGTTTTTATTTCTTGTCCCAATATTTCGTGTTTGGACACGGGTAGTGACCCTTATGAGATTCGAACCCAACGAGTTTAGAATTCCACACATTTTTATGTTGAATCTTCCGCGAAAGAGAATCTCGCTGTCTGATAACACAGAGCATGTTGCGTTAGACTGTCTGCAGCCACTGTGATATCTCGTGCAATCCTGAAACCGCTTCTCCTACTCTCCTACTCTCAGTACTCTCTTCCCGTCTTCATCCCTTCCTTTATATTTACTCCTGGGCCTATGTCGAACGCCTTCTCGCCCTTAACAATTCTAATGACAAACTTAGGCAACAGGTGTTGTAAGGAGCAAGTTACCTTACTTGTTTTCACATGTTCATTCTGTTTCATT